GGGCAGAAGGCAGGGCGAAGTGTGCTAGGCGAGGTGACGGGGGCAATACACGAGACACGCTGTTCCACCACGTAGACTATCAGCAGCGACATGATCATTCAACCCATCTTTCTGCTGTGAAAGCATACCCCGTAGTAAAGACGTGCAACTCATCGCTCAACATCATGCGATCAACTTCACGCGCTCGGAGTCGACACGTCGCGATACACGACGCACACGAACACGCACGCACCTTCACCACGCCACTGGCGACGCTGTCGGCCGCACCCTGGATCTCGCTGGTGGCGCTTTCCGCGGCCGACTTGACGGCAGCCGCGGCGCTGCCGACCTTGCCTTCGATGGCCTCGGCGGCTTCCTTCGTCTCGTCCTCGACGGTGTCCTTGGCGGACTCTATGGAGTCCCCCAAGGAGCCCGCCACGTCCTGTGCTCCGGCCTTAAAGTCAGCGGCGGCGTTTTTTCCCTTGTCGAGCGCGTCCTTGCTCTTGGAGCTCACGTCGTCCACAGCGTCTTTGGCCGTCTCAGCGCCCTGTGTTTGGGGGGGGGAGGGGGAGGCAAAGAACGAATGTAAATATCAAACAGCGGAGCACTCAGGCACGCCACCACCGCAATAACCAGGATGCGATTTTTGAGGTGAATGTTGCGGTATTTGTTGCACAAAGTTGACTTTGTCCTGATGTTTGTGTGTTTGAAACAATATGTGAAGAGCGTGTTCTAGAGTTTTGTGGCCGTCAGGTCGGTGTCTGAATGTGAAAAAAAAACAATCCTTGTCTACCACGCCTCACCCCCGTGCGACATCTACCGCGCCTCCAGTGGGTGTCCTGCCGTTGAATGGTGAACATCTCAGGTTGTGGTTTGAAGACAAAAATGTACGCATGATACGCAAACAGTCCGATTGATCCAACCAGAAAACCGACCTCACCACAGCGATATTACATCCAAAGGCGGGGCCGCCGCGGCAAGCATTTATACAGAAAATCAATAGACCAACTGAAGAACGTGCCCATATCAAAGATGGGACTCCGTGGGCTCAAAACGGTATTCCGTACATCAACCATGTACATTGGACTAATCGACAGAGATATGACCTTACACTGGTACATAAACACATGTAGAGTGTGATTTTTATCGTGGCACATCAACATGTGTGAAATGTCGTGGGTAGGGCTCGCCGAGCATATAACCTCAGGTGGGCTGGGCCGCCGATGCACATATTTATGAAGTTTCTATCCAATCCAATTGTACAGTCATACAAGCAGACAACCTCTGGTGCGTTTCTACGTCAAATAAAATAGATATGGTCTCGTGATTGCAAAACAGAGCCGGTCCGCGAGCAAATCATGTGGATTTCTCATGATTCTGCTAAAGTGCCGACACAGCCAACGCTGGGGGTGGAGAAGACCCAACCCGCTCAAGGCTTTACACTGTAGCAACTTTACGACGCCGAAGTAGTTTTGGTGCCACCACATCTGATGCTGCAGGACTTGTGATGATTGCATCAGGTGCACCTGATGACTCAGGTGGTGGAACAAAATCAGTCCAAAGTTCAACTAAGCAAAGGTGGGGAGATATTCGCCCCATCATGCCCTTCGGCCTTACACTGTCCGATTTGACGCTCCAGCTCATTATGATCCCCACAAACCTTGAACGCGAGTGTGGAATCTCACCTCGTCGATGGAGCTGCGGACTCGGGTAGTTGGTTGACGTACAGCAGACACAGGGGGCATACCCCCACGGGCAAGAGCAGCCGAGGGAACAACGAAGGCGGTCGTCGAAGCAGTCATGCAGCCAAGAGCGGCGATCATGGTGGTGGTGAACTTCATGGTAGTTTGGTGGAGTGAGCGAGAAGGAAGGGCGAGTGTGGGTTGTGTGATGAACTGGGTGGGAGTGGGCGATGGTATTAAGGTTGTCGGGGAATCCACGGTAAACCAAAAAGCTCTCGAAACATGAGCTTTCTGGCGTTCTCCGGAGATTTCAAGGGTTTGTGATGATGCAGTCTAGAAGGTTCTGACGTCCAGAAGGGTCTGACTGTCAATCTTTCTAGACTTTTGAAGGTTTGTGGGCCGGCCAGGGTTTGGATCACAGCCACCAAACTGGAGCCGGGGAGACCAAGGCTCTAGCCGCGTTATCATGTTCCCAACATTTGCCGGACCCGTAGCCTTTCCTGCTGATACGGCATAAGCTTCGAGAGCTTCTAACTTCTGACCCTCGACCCTCCACCACAATTGTTCCGCCGCATCCAACGGTACTTTTGTACATGTTTTCGCCCCGCGCTCGTTCATTACCGATCTCAATCACGTCCACTCTCCTCACTCTACCTAACATCTCAACCACACGCACACTTGTTCACCATGGACAGCATCAAGAACGCAGCGACTGACGCGAAGAACGCTGTGATGGGAAACCCTTCGGTGAGTGCTGTCCAACACAACAGCAGCGAAGGCAACAACAGAAGCTAGAGCCAACATTGTTTGTGCCCGCTCCCTTTTTAGGCCATGCCGGCCAGGCGATCTCTCACTCATCAGTTAGACCGAGAAACCCTCTCCATGGTTGGCAGGCAGGCACGCAGGTCCCTCTGCACTCCAGCCGTGCCCTAGTAGTCTCTTTGCGCTGTAGATGTATGCATAGACTACAGCCTATCCATATTTTTTTGTTTGTCAACAGCAACGAGCAAAAGATCCGGTGAGCAGTACCTAAAGCAGTCACCTGCACACTACTTCCTGACTCATGCAGCACATAGATGACGCACGACGAGTTGTTGAAGTTAACGCTGACGCGATGCTGTACCCGGCGTCCTTGAAGATTGGCTCATGCGTCTCATGTGTTTCCATGTGAGGCGAGACAGATTGCCATCCTCAATGACGCGTCAATCCAGATGCCGATCACGGATGGATACCGCTCGGCACAGACGTGCTTTACACCAACTCGTTTTGATACCTGCGACTGCTAGAATCCAAACGGCCCTGCTGTACTCTAGTCACGACACCCACTCCCCTTTTCTCGATTTTTTCTCCCATGTCTTTGTTCGATTTATCTTCTTCCCGCGTTTTGGTTTCGGCAGGAGGCAGACAAGGCTAAGAACACCGCTGAGGACATGGGAAACAAGGGTGAGAGCACGTTGAGCATGTTCGAAGTTTGTGTTGTCGTTCTCGGCTGCATAATACATGGGTCCCACGTGTGTCATGAATTTTGGCACGAGCACGAAATTAAATTTTGACACGAGACGTCAGAATTTTGACACGAGATGTTACGCCGCACTCTTGCATGCCAGAATCACAGGTCAAAATTTTTCGAAAACGTGGTCAAAATATTTTCACCTGAGGTATTTTTACACGAGAAAACGACAAATTGACACGAGCGCCATCGCACCCACACGAAGGCATCAACTCAGTCGGCAAGCTCGCACGCAGCTTCCTGCACACCCACACACACACATGACTACAACGCTCCCGAGAGTACATCGCGATAGGGGAACGTCAAGCCACGGTTAGGATCGTGTGCGTTCATCGCGGGATCGAGAGCAAAACACTCCGAGGTTGGTCTGTCTGGACTCTGGACTCGAAGCACACGGGAGATGACCACAACAGCAGCTAGTCGGGTGCCCCGCCCGTGAAGGGAGAGGTTACAGCAGTTGTTGGTGGAAGAGACGGTAGCTCTGGGCGTACGTACGAGGGGCGCGAAGCTGGCGGCGGTTGGGTTTTGGGGAGTGTAGTTCGCGGAGTGTAGTTCGCGGAGTGTAGTTCTCGGGAGTCGAGAGGAAACATGTCTCCAGCTTTGCTACGCCAAACATGGGCATCACGAGTAACATGTCCTCCTCTCCAGCTAGCGCGCACAACACAGCAGGCAGTAGAACCTGCATGCACTCATCATACCACTCTTAGCGGATTCTACCTCGCGCAAGGCGCGCCATCCCCTCGCTCCGTGTCGGGTGCGGTGACGAGGGAGCGCGACCGTTGGGTTTCCCGGCGGTGCAGCGGTGCAGCTGGGATTGATTTTTTTTTATCGTGAGGCTGCGCCGCTGCGCCGCTGCTGGCCTTCGCCAGGCAACTTGCGGCGGAATATTTTTTCGTGTCAATTTATCAACTGTTACCTTTTTTCGTGTCAATTTGTCGACCGTTACTTTTTTTGGTGTCGATCTATCTCAGTTCAAAATTTTCGTGTCAATTTAACGTGGGAACCCAGGAATGTATCAGTTTTTGTTGCGGCTGTGTGGTCATGACGTCGCACGGCCTGGCAAGGCCTCATCCCTACGAAATATGTACATACATGGTGTTTCGCGGCTGATGCCGCCACGCTTGATGAATAGATTCCAATATCCGTTTTCAATGTACAGGTAGTCTAGACTAGATGTGGAAGATTCCTGTTAATGCGTCGAGACGTACATAGAATCGACGAACTTACGTTTGAAATACCGCTTGTAATAGTACAACGCCCGCCGTGGCTCTCTGAGCGAAAACCTGTGAGCGTTTGCCTCCTTGCTGGTTTGTGCACCGTAGCCACTCATACGTTTTCATCCTTCTATTTGAGTCACTTCTTTCGACAGGATCCGTCCTATTTTCTTCTCTTCGTGCTCCAAGATTAAAAAAATACTGATGAATTTTGTTTTATGTGTACGAATCGACGAGGGCAAGGAATTATTTAACCAACGCACGTGTTGGTGCCTCCCCCCCTGTCACGCGCCACACCGTACAAGGCTCTGCGGTATTTTCTCTGCGTTCGCGAGAACCGGAGCGAGGTTCATCGCCATCTCATGTCTCACGGTGCTCACCATTTTACTTTCTCCGTCCAACCCTTACTACAGCCGTCGACGTCACCAAGTCTGCGATCGACACGGGAGACGCTGCCGCGAAGGACGCCCAGTCCAGCGCCGAATCCGCGAAAAATGAGGCAGCGTCTGAGACGCAGTCTGTGGTCGACGCTACCAAAGGCCAGATCAAGGGCGCCGCCGACGCTGTCTCCAATAGCATGAACAAGTAGACTGACTTTTGGGCGTTGCACAGGTTGTAGAGCGTTACAATATTGGACATGTTGGCAATCCGGTGTTTCGTGGTCCCTTTGTTTTCGGTTCAACGGACGTGTGTTTGGCTTGATTTAGAAGTAGGGAGCAAAGATCGCCCTTGCGTGTGGTTGATGTATATATGTAGGACGCTCCCTCGAGCAGCGGTGTGGTGAACTGGGCACAACGTACGACGTCTATCTTACTGGGCGTCTGCTGGGCAGCACCGGACAGATGGTTCTCCCATTTCGTTTCACGTTTTGTAGTGCGCCATATTTTGCGGCGCCTCCGGTGGTGCACACGCTCTGCCGCCGTACATGCGGGAGTATTCTAGGTAGTCTGATGTATTTTCGCCTTGCCTTGTCTTGTCTAGCCATACCTTGTCTGATCCGGGCACCTGCACGGATAGGTGCAGTTCCGTTCATCGAATGGAGGTACGCATGGCATGCAATAGCTCTGAAAAAATGGATGGGTAGGGGAAGGTGTTAATTGAAAGACGGACCCTAACCCTATAACTCGAATCGTAGCCTTAACCCTAAACCTGAACCTGAAATGCCGAGTTTGTTCGTGGTTGTGATGGGCTTACTTCAGCAAATAAATCTGAAGGGCGAAATGACGCATCGACAACGTGCGATAGCGGACTGCAGGAGAAATCCAACAGGAACCTTGGTCGTGAGGAGCTTTCTCTCTTGCCTTCATTGTATTGTCTTGACATTGAATGAAAGGAGTCGTCGCGGTCAGGAATTCCCGGGCAGAGTAGGCGCCCAGAGTGTTAGGCTTCAAATATATACCAACCCGAGTTGATTGGGGGGATTCGGCATCGGATTGGTTTCCTTGATACCTCCAGACGAGAACAAACAATGTGTGGTATTTTGCCACGAAAGCCAAGTTTATAGGTTAAGTTGGTACTTTCAGTCATTTTTTAGGCAGCTGCCATTATGGTGCGGCCGTACGTCACTCATGCACCCAATCTCACACAGATCGCGTCTAACTGATTGAGCAGCGTGCGATGAGAAACGCGCAGCTATCCCTGAGGACCCTGATGATGACCCATGTTGTTTGAAAGTGTTCTTGTGTCTCTTGTCATGTCTCAACACCGCAGTACACTTGCTGATCCTAGCTCCGTAGATACACTGAAGAGTAGAGGGTGCGGGCCGTTCCTGCAGAGGGGGTCGCTATGGCAGTATTTCTCTTGAAACTATCCTAGGAGTTGCAGTCCCCGCCAGAACTATTCTACCTTCAAATCTTTGTACTCGAATTCCATGACGCCAGGCCACCTTTGAGGTTTGTGCATGCAGATACATGGAAATCCCAAGATATGAAAATGAATCCAAGATGCGAAACTCCACAACTCAAAAATCCACCCCCCCATACCACTACATAAGGTGGACAAGGACCATCGTCGTAACACGAATGTGAAAGTGCGAACGATAGAGGGAATAAAAGTAGAAGCCCAAACTGAGAACAAACGAAAAGACCGTAATCTAACGAATTGCGATACAGCCAAACTCGATCGCCAAAAAGGAAAATTGAATCGTCGGAACGACAAAGGCAAAGAAGCGAAGAAGCAGGGTATCGAATAGAAACACGACATGCTGACCTAACGATCTGTTAGATATACTCGTAGCATAGTAAAGATGGTTGAATATGGGACATGGATCTACGGAGATTGCATTGGTAGATTGCCGAGGAACAGGGAGTTTCTACTTGGTTTCTTCTGAGTGAGATTCGATGAGTGATCTGAATTGCGTGGCAGATGGGTGTTGTGACTTTCCCCTCGAGTCCTCGGACACGACTGTTCTCTGCTGTCCCCTCTCCCCTCTAACACAAGACTTTCTCATGTCGGCCCTCACTGGCCGAGCTGCCTTTCTCCACAAACAACAACATATTCGCTTGATTGAGAGCGAAGCATCTGATTGAGAGCGAGAGCCAAAAAAATTGAAATTTCGGGTCCAGACGCCTCTTTCCATTTCTTGGCAAGTAGGGGACGGGCTATTCCAAGAAGCGGTGCAAATTGAAGTCCTCATCAGCAGCTTCGCGAGCATATGCGTGTCATCGTCATCGGATGCTGCAGCGAGCAGCTAGACAAGTTGCTAGATTTGCCCAGATTGGCTATTTCTGCTCAAACTGTTTCAGGGCGGTATCGCGTCGGGCGGTGGGCTCTGCTGTAGCTTCTGCTCCCCGCTGTAGCTCCACAACGAGAGATCCCACAGGATGACCAGGGTAAGCGGCTTGAAGCTACGGGCTAGCCCTTCAATTCAAGCTACACAGCAAGCTCCACCTCTCAGTGGTAGTCCGGCTACAGCGTATCGCGCAATCTCGCTCTCAATCAGATGCTACGCTCTCAATCAGGCGAATATGTTGTTTAACCTACAAGCTTCGGCCTACAGTTGGCGCCCGCAGTTCAGAAATATTTTGTTAAGAAATTGAGGCTCACTTTTTCACGAAAAATAAGAAAATAGGGTTAAGAAATATTTATTTATTTATTTTTGCCTTCCGACAATTGCAGATGTACCTCAGAAAACTTTCACTTAATGTCTCATACTCTACATGAATATTAAACCAATACGAAGTACAACAACATATAGTATTAGGTAGGACTTATTTCTACTGTCATTTACATCGTAAAAATATCTCCTCTTCAATTTGAAATAAAACCAATGACAATCAAATCCTCATGGTATCCTACATGCGTTCGTAAGCTTACTAAAATACTACTGCGTTGATGTCCTCTTGTAAAAGCTGAAATCCAACAAATGCTTTGATCCATGNAACATCTTACCCTATTCTACGCAAATCTGTCACATCTACTCTCAAACAAGACGCCAACTTCAAACGAAAACAAACGCGTTCTACGATAATATAGCTTAATCTGGGTCACACAATAAGAAATGTCTCAAAAACATAGGAAGGGAGCGGGGGGCGCAAAAGGGAGACAGCCCCCGATGTTCGCCTCACGGAGCTTGCATCATAATGATGGGATAGTTTTCGTTGTTGGGCACGTCAGCGTGCGGGTGAGGCATCATGCGGTGCTCATGTATTTGTTTAGTTTCAGCGCTCACTCATGTGGGGGGTATAGGACGTGGTAGCGATAGCGAGACGTTGCCGCTGGATACATTTCGCTTCTAGGGAGTGGCCTTACGTGCAGCCGTCGGTAGTGAGAATCGGGGTTGAGTACGGGGGTCGAGGAAAGCAGTGCAAATCATTTGTATATTTGGAACGTTGTGTAGTATGCAAGCAGAGAAATAATAAGAAATTGCCGATTTAAGAAATTCAGCAGGATTTGGCTGCACGAAAAAATAAGAAACTTGAAATAAGAAGCTGAACGACATACGCTGAGTTTATAGCCCACAATATTAATTCGAGGCTGGACCTGAAATAAGAGTTTCTTAACTGCGGGCGCCAACTGTACCCGGTTTACCTAACACCAACGGTGAAAAAATAATCGTTATAGATACAAACACGAGGGGCCGTAGTACCAACTAACTAACTGCGCTACAAAGCGGCAGAGCAAAAACAAAAACTCGCCATGACGAAACGACGTACCAAACGACAACCTAAGCGCTAATCAGTGCGCGCAGGATCTCCAGAAAACGGATCACGCGCCTCGGCACCATGCGACATATCGATATTATTACGAAGGATGCCTTCGAGGAGAGCGCTACCAAGGTGTTGTTGGAGACACCACGATCCGCACATGGCATTGGTGGCGGTATCATAACGAGTTGTAGCGGAGAGGGCGATCTTGATCGGCCCAAGTTCGTCGAGGAAGCGAACGATGCAGTGATCTTGGTGAAGAGAAGGTCCAGAAATCTTGCTCAGCCACCAGATTCCATCTCGGGCCTTGTACCAAAAGAGAGCGCCCTCAGGAAGAGGAGCAGCGGAGAAGCGACGGTCCCAAGTAGAACGAGTAATACCGGAGAATGTGGGAGCTGGAGTGCTGAAGATCCATCTCGCGTTCCCAAGAAGGGCGGAGAAGACCTTTCCAGTGCGTCTGACATAAGACGGCGATGATACCTCCACGACCACGAACAGACTGATGACCAGTAATGTGGTCCACATCAAGACGCTTGACCGGAGTCGACGCGTCGTCTTCCGTCACATGGTACGGTACTACCGAGGAAATTTGGTCGTGTAGTCTACTTGTCAAGAACATTCTGGGTGAGGCCGGCAGGCAAAAGCCTAGACGTATCATCGGCGTCATGTGGGTTGAGACACGGTTTGCAACGCGCAATCGAAGCACATGCTTCGAGGCTGTGCCTGACAGGTCCGACGGAAGGTCCGAGAACAGCAGCTTTGCTGCAAAAGGGCTGCCATCAGGAGTCTTCAGACAGGGGCCAACAGCCAGAATCTTCAATGGACCAGTCCATTGCGAAGAACGTTTCGCTTTGAGTACGTCATCATCATCAGTTCCGTCCCGAACACCTTGGCGAATGGTGCTTTCGGAGTTGTACACCAAATCCAACCGCCGACGGTTTGAATCGGAAGCTTGTGCAAAGTTGAAGCATCCGAAAGAGCGGAATTGCGACGCTCAATCCGTGAAACGGACAAGGTGTGCTGCTCCCGCACCAGCGCGTAAGCACGACGCTGGCGACCGGCAGCAAGATTGCAATATTTGAGGTGACCTCGATCAAAGCTTTGATGACCCCGATCATAGGGATACTCGATGACGGTCATCGGTAGTCGAGACAGACAAACCATATGCACTTCATTCGGTTCTAAGCCGGTAGCGGTGCTGACAGAGTTGTTATACGCAAACTCCACGTGAGGGGGATGGACATCCCAATCGTCGTACCGTTCGTTGACTACCATGGCAAGTACTTGTGCCATAGTGTGGTGGACGCGCTCTACACCGCCACTATCGTTGGGGTGATACGAGCTAGTTGCCACTTTGCGTACCCAGAGAAGTTAGGAGACAGCGTAAGGCAGTTTCGAACAGAAGTGCTTGCCATCATCAAAAGGCTCGAGGGGCAACCCCACAAAGGAATGCACCGATTCACCAAAATACCTGCAGTGCCTCAGCGGCCGTGACGGCGTACATGTCAGCACTTCGACTGAAACGGTCGGTGAAGAGCAAAATATAGGCGTTACCCCGAGGGGNAGGTGACCTCGATCAAAGCTTTGATGACCCCGATCATAGGGATACTCGATGACGGTCATCGGTAGTCGAGACAGACAGTTCATATGCACTTCATTCGGCTCTAAGCCGGTAGCGGTGCTGACAGAGTTGTTATACGCAAACTCCACGTGAGGGGGGTGGACATCCCAATCGTCGTACCGTTCGTTGACTACCATGGCAAGTACTTGTGCCATAGTGTGGTGGACGCGCTCTACACCGCCACTATCGTTGGGGTGATACGAGCTAGTTGCCACTTTGCGTACCCAGAGAAGTTTGGAGACAGCGTAAGGCAGTTTCGAACAGAAGTGCGTGCCATCATCAAAAGGCTCGAGGGGCAACCCCACAAAGGAATGCACCGATTCACCAAAATATCTACAGTGCCTCAGCGGCCGTGACGGCGTACATGTCAGCACTTCGACTGAAACGGTCGGTGAAGAGCAAAATATAGGCGTTACCCCGAGGGGTGGTTTGTAGAGGGTCGAAGGAATCGACACTCACGGAGATGCCAGGTCCGGATGGCAACGGCATGCTCACGATAGGCCACCGCGCCCGTGTGCCGGGACGTTTTGCGGGCTTGGCAATGCAGGCAATGTCGGATCCACCATTTAGTAGAAACGCCCATGCCCACCCACCAATAATTCAAACGCTTCAACATAGTCTACACAGTATGCGATCAACACAAAAGTGACACGATGCATCGTCATGGCATAGCTGCACAATCCGCGGGCGCATCAACATGGGAACATGAACTCTAACAGGTGACAACAGAATTGTAGTTGCTGTTTGTTGTGTAGTTGGCAGTGGTGGCGCAGTTTGGGTAGATACAACACAGAGTGATCATTAGATCCAAAACACAGGCGCCCAAGCTGTCTTCACCTGACGGTTACAGACTTGGAGACACGCCTTCACAATACTGCACAAAACCCATGCAGTAGAATAGAGTCAGTTCTTGCATACAAATCCCAACA